GCCTTGAGCAAATGCTCGAACACAAACTGGAACAACGAGTAACACACAAATTTGATCCAAACTTTCAACAAACACTTTGAAGAGTTGTTCAAAAGGCAGAGACTCTATTAAAAAATTCGTGAATGCAACGTGCATTCTTGTCTATCTGATACTTGAAGAATTTGGTTGCTTCTAGTCGTGGTTCTCTGATAATATCGGACATGGCAGTGTCAAGGATGAAAACGCGTTAGCACTAGGGATAGGGAAACGGAAACCGTTTAAGTCTATCGCGTTTTAATGTTTTGATTTTTATGGCCAACATGATAATCAGATGATCATCTATTACGAACTTGTATTTTGCCCACGCAACTTGCGCCTGTCAACCTGACGGCAAGTTGTGTCTGGAAGTGCAAGGGGAGATTATCATGCCTGTCAACTTGACGGTGACCTCCTCTTTGCAGTCGCCTACCACATTCATGCCTGCCAGCTTGACGGTGATGTGGTAGAGGTACGTGCAGAACGACCTCATGCCTGTCAACCTGACGGTGAACGTTCTGCAAGTAAAGGTAGGCCACCGTGTCCCGCGCCTGTCAACTTGACGGTGGAGCGGTGGATGTTTCTTTATATAATTGGTAATTTAGTAAATACGTTTTCAACAAAATAACAAATGCATAAGCTATCGATCAACGCTTATATAAGCTGAGTCCCAGCATCAAGTTATTTCTTTGCTCTCACACTTTTCCGATAAATTTCTACGACTAATTTATTTCTATATCAATTGCTAATTACGAGATTCTCATAACAATACTCTCTTTCTACACTAGATTTCTGAAATAAATTATCACAGAATTTTTGTTTATCTATATCTCTCCCAAACACGCAGATTATGTAAAATAATATTCCCCGTAATGAAACTTCTCGGATATTAAGTAATTTCGAATCTATGGATAAATTCGGGAGATTAGCAACGGAGGTAAAAAAACATTTCCGATTCACACTTACCATTACTATTAATTTTCGCAACATTGCATTCCGCCTGAAATTTATTATTTAATGCATTACAATAAAGGTAATTCGATTTTTTTATTGCCGGTACGATACTGTGCCAAATATCAAGAATTCGGCACGTGAAGGTGTTTATATTATTGAAAATTTATTAGACACACTGCGCCAAATTTTGTTGAGAAGCGTGATGTTAAGGCATGTGATGGGATTCATGTGAATAGTTTCACTGCGTCTATTGTACGCGTGATTGTCAAAGATTTTCTCGGCGAAGATCAGAATGCCGATACATAGCAAGAGGAGTAATATATCCGTTTTATTTTGGAACATCTATAGAGACAGGAAAATCGATTAACATCGTGATGACATGTCTCAAGAAGCTAACCGAGCAATAAAATCAACATACCTTATTATTGTTTTGCGGAATATAGGAGTTCGTTTGATCAAGGA